ATAGCAACTTCACAATAACTTTAAGCAGTAGTATTATACTCCTTTACAGATGACATATAAGTGCTGAAATTGCTTTGCTAGAAAGTGACAAAAGGAAATTTAAACAGGTATGTCTGACTCCAAAATTGGTGGTCTGAATTATAGCAAGAATTATTTTTAAAAGAAATGAAACAAAGTTTTGACTAGCAACCTGTCATTATTTATTACAGTAGAATATTAGGATTCGAAATCTTCAATGAGCACAAGAACTACTATATGATTATTATGTTCATAACATGAATGTGTCTTCTTAAGATTTGTATGTTGAAACTGGATCCCAACTGTGTGGCTATTTGGAGGTAGGGTCTCTGGGGAGATAATCAGAGCATAGGAGAAGCCCTCATGAAAAGGATTGGTACCCCTAGAGGACAGAATCCACAAAATTTCTTCTTCCTTCCACCATGTTGGGACACAGCAAGAGACACCAGGCACTGCATCCATCAATGCCTTGATCTTGGTCTTCCCTGACTCTAGGATTGTGAGAAATTAACACTAGTTTTCTGTAATCAACCCAGCTAATGGCAGTTTGTTGTAGCTACCCAAACAGATGAAGGTGGTGATGTAAGATATCTAGAGTGACAAGTCCACTTCCTGTCTCCCTGAGCATCTTGTCTCTCTAGACCCTAATTTATGTATCTGTGCAGCATTAAACTGAAGAACTACAGAGGCGATTTTCAGAAAATCTGTTGACACCGTTGCAGCTTCAGGTCACTTCAGGTCCCACACCTGTGTGAAGCTTAGGTAGACCGTAGCGCCTGCAGTCATTTCCCTTCCCTAGACTTCTTCAGGATTCATAATTGGTTCAGTTGACTTGGCAATTTAGCAGCATGGTCTTGTGATTTTTTTAAATTTTGAAATGGACATTTAAAATTATGCATTGTTTAACGTCATCCTGTTTATTTCCATCTCCTCAACTGGCAGTGACTCCCAAGAGCAAAGATACAATGCCTGATACAGAGTCAGCATTCTTTCTACACTATATGATAATTTTAGAGTGATTTCAAGGCAGGATGCAGCTTGAACTACACAAGATTCCAAAATGTTTTAGATTTAAAATGAGTCTTTCAAGATTCCCTACTCAGTCTATCTTCCTTGTGAATTCCTTAAGTTGGAACTTGAGGTTCTTCATTATCAAATTCTGTATCTTTTTTTCTCCTGTTTCCTTTAACTGAAGCTGAGGCTAAAGTGTTTACTATCCTTAGCCTCTTCTTGAAACTCTGAGATGACAGCCTCGCTCTTCAATTTTTCGGTTATAATCCACCATTTTTGCTCTCCTCTAACCCATTAACACTTTCTGAGGAAAAACAAGGAAAATGGAATAATCTGGGACTTTGGAGTCAGACTTATGCAAAAATTATATCTCCACGTGAGAATGTTACTAAACATCCTGGGCCCCGGTTTCCTGATCTATAAAGTGCAGGAAATATATCCATCTGATAGGATTTAGGAGAGGACAACAAATTAGGTAGGTAAAGCATCTAGCCTGGCCCTTACAACAGTGGATGACAATCAGTTTATTTTACCTTTTTTCACTTTTGTTTTCTTTCTCCTCTTTCCCTATATTACTGCTTTTCTCTTGCTCTGTATAAAGATTGCCCCATATACTTTCTCTCTGAGCAATATTATTTATTATGTCCTAGGAAATAATTTAATCTCCATGTCATTATTTTCAATTCTGAGGACAGATCTGGGTGCTGGGCCACACGAACAACATGGTCAGGCCTGCAGAATGTTTATCACCCTTGCCCTTCTCCCCACCCCTCTGTCAGATCCTTTCTGCTAATAATGCCAGACACTGATTGAGCAGCCACTAGGCAGTGCCTCTTCAGTCACCAACATGACCCCTTCCACCTGCATACTTTGCACCTTCAAGCTCTCCTTACCTGTTTTGTTTTATTTGGACTTGTGTTTCGAACCCAGAACCTTTCACTGAGTCACATGCCTAGACCTTATTATCTTTTTTCATTTTGAGATAGAACCTCGCTAAATTGCCCAAGATGGGCTTGAATTTTCAGCCTTCCTGCCTGAATTCTGATAGTAGTGGGAATACAGGTGCTAGTTCTTTTTACTTCTTGTCACTGGATTAAACTTTCTGAAATTACGGCTCATATTATGTCATTCTGCTGCCCAATAATCTTAAAATAGGTTTCCATTACTTGTCTTAGCAACTTGGTCAAAGCCCTGACCTCTTTTTCATTCTTATTCCTCACCATACGATCATTCATGCTGCTTAGAACATGCCTGTGGACTCTGACGTGTTTGTTTCGGTCCTGCTGCTTCTTTCTCACCCCTGCAATCTCTCTGGTGGAACTCGCTCATTCTGAAGGACTCAGCAGACGAATTTTTAAAATTTATTAATAAAACTGGCTCCTTTCTTGGTCCCCAACCCCTGCTGTTTCACTTTCTACCCCACCAAGTCTCAGATTCCTCCCTTGACTTCAGAGTCCCTAACAGTCCTTGTTCCCACAACCCCTGCAGCACATGGTAGGTCAGCCAGACTGCTAACCACAGAATACCTTAAAAATCATAGTGTGACTTACAATAATAGCACAGAATGAACTGACAAGTCAATTAATTCTTACAAGAAATGCTGGAATTTAGTATAAACATTTTTATAACAAGAAAAATTTAGCAATTAGTTCATTAACTTAGATCATTCACTTAGACCCTCATGTCAGATATATTATCATCTTTCTTCCTATATTTTACTAAGGTGCCATGTAAAATTTAACTTCTCACGGGTACAGAATAGTGAAGAAAAATAGATTGTTTCTTTAAGAAAATAAAGCTTCATCTTCTCTTTGAAATATCTATACTTCTTTGATTTAGGCACCATCTGAGAGCTACAAGACTCAGCTTTTTATTAAAAGTTCCATTTTCAGCTGGAGATTCATAAGAATCAGTTTTATGAAGTTAGGTGCCCCAATATTCTGTGCATATATATTTATAGTGGTTAGCTTTTCTTATTGAGCCAATCCCTTAAGTAAAATGCAATGATCTTTTTTTCCCACTTCTGATCAGTTTTAGCTTGAAATTTACTTTGAGAATAAAATTGTTACCCTTGCTTGTTTTGGGGGGGTCTTGCTGCATAGAATATTGTTTTCCATTCTTTGGTTTTAGTGTATGAGACTTTTTTGGAATAGATGAATTTTTTAAATACAATAGACTGTTGGATTCTGTTTTGTGGATTCTTCTAATTGGTGTCTCTCAACTGGGGAGTTGAGACCATTTACATTGACAGTTCTTAATGAAAGATGCTGATTTTTTCTTATCACTGTGATATCTTTTGCTGTTGTAAGAGTGCCTTTATCTTTCTTTTTTGTTTAACTACTTGCCTTGCTTGATCATTTATTCTATCTGATTTTCTTACTTTGATGGCCTCATTATTTCTATCTAGGATGTTCTTGAGTAGATTGGTGATCGTGTTTCTCTTGAAAGTGATCTTTGTCATTAGAACATCCTCATTTTTCCATCAATTTTGAAAGACAATTTTGCAGGATATATTAGCTTGGATTAGAGATTGTTTACTTTTAGAACTTTAAGCACTTCATTCCAATTTCTTCAGGCCTTTAAATTTTGTGTTGAGAAGTCAGCTACAATCTTGATGGATTTATCTTTATGTGTGATTTTTTGCTTTTCTCCCTCAGCTTTTAGGATTCTGTCTTTTTGGTGGACATCTGGGATTTTGGCTATGAAATGTCATAGGAGCCTCTTTTATTGGATTTAAATGGTGTCTGTAAGCCTCACCTGTATGTAGAAGAAATAGTTTATCCTTTTTATTTTTATTATTGTCCATGTTAGGGCAATTTTTTTCTTCCTGGTGTTCCTTTTCCTGCCCACCCTGGAAGTGGATGCATTGGTTACATGGTAATTAAACTTTATACCATTTCATTTTCAGCTTGTTGTAATCCCTTGGTTGGAATTGTCTAACTTTACTATGGCTGGTGGGGGAAATAATGACTGTCACTGAAGGACCAACTTGCTTCCTGCCTTAGACTGCTCCTTTCCTAAGATGATTTGTACATGGCCTATGGTGGGAGGAAGGGTAGAGTAACATGATTCAGTGTGACCAGTTTCACCTCTCTCCTGTAAATACTAGATTTTTAGTCCAGCTCTATGATCTTGGCATTTGTCCTCTCCTATGAGACTTTATCTTTCACTTCTGCTTGGTAGTAGCTGCTTTTTTCAACACCCAGTCAGAGGCACTTATCACAGCTGTCTCCAACTGGTTGGCCCCATATTACTAATTCTTAAAACACTTATATAAATTCAATAACTACTATGAAAGCGATACAAGGGAAAGCTCACAAAAATCATTTTTGGCATAAAATTTCTCATTAAAATTAAATATGGATAGAATTTAAATTATTAATATCAGTGGGCAATAACATCAAAACAGATTTTTAAGTGAGATTTTGTAAGTAGGAAATGTGATTTTTTTCCCCTCAAACTACAAAAATACTCACATTATAGTCTAGATGTATTCCTTTTCCACATTTAAAATTCTGTAAGTTCTCAATCCATGTTCTGTTTTCCTCATTGTTGGGTTTTGTTTTTATTGGTACCAAAACATGCAATCTGTCTAGTTAAGGGAGTCAGGCTGGAGAATTCAATGGAATTTTATGATGCCACTGTGTTTTTGTCTTAAGATCAGTGTTGGTCACTATCTGATTACCTTCTTTAATGTATTTGCCTGCTTTGGGCCTAAATACAACCCTAGGGTTACTCCCTGGGTTATAGAGAGTCTATTATTTCTCTTAATGGATTTGGTTATTTTTACATTATAAAAAATGTAGATAAGTGATTTTGAAATATCTACTGATAATTACCTCACTATTGTTCTGTGACTAATGTCTCCCTTAATGAAGTTAGATAATCCTGCTATTGATGTAGTTTGTAGCATCAGATTTCAAACAGACTTACATTTCTCTTTTCTTACTGCCTGCCTTGTGTTCTAACAGTTTCAAAGAAAGCATGGAAAAATCATCATATTCTGACTGGCTAATAAATAATAGCATTGCCGAACTGGTTGCTTCGACGGGCCTTCCTGTCAATATCAGTGATGCCTACCAGGACCCACGGTTTGATGCTGAGGTAAGAAGCATCCTCTGGTTGCAGTAATAGAAGCCAGTTGTCAAAATTTTGACAGTTTGCTGGTTGAAGGAAAAGGGGACACACACACAGGTCCATGGCAACCCCTAAAATGTGCTAGCATTTCTTTTGTATCCTTCCCTGTGATCTGGTTTCTAGCATCACTTACCATTGACTGACAGCTAGAAAATTTCCCATTTCTACCTTGATTTGTGGCAAAATTATCCTTAGCCTGGCATTTCCGTAATTGGTTATACTTTATATTAAACTATTTAATATAATAAAATGTTTATATAACATGGTTATTTCCCAACAAATGTTATAACTGCCATAATTTTTAAAATTGCTCCCATAAAACAATAAACTGATATTATTGCTTAGTTAATTATGTGGGTACATTGTGCTGACATGCAGAATATACTAAAAACAATTTTCAAGTTGACATGGTAAGGTAGTACAAAGTATACAGTGAGTTCATGTGAGTAAATAAAATGTCTTTATGTAGAGATATGGATAAACATATACATATAGTATATATCTGGTATATAGATCTTATAAAAATAAGTCTTTATATAAAATATACATAATAAAAAGTTTCCTATTTCAGATTGTAAAGCCAATCTCTGAAGAATAGCAGGAGTTTTTGTTGAAGAAGGTTGAGGAGACAAAGCTGAAGGGCATAGGAACTGGAGAGCTGAGGTAGTTCAGCGTGGCTGAAGGATCATAGGAGAAGAGGTGGAGGGGGAAGCAGGGTCCAGATCACCAAAAGCCTTCTGAAAATTCTGTTAAAAGGTTTGAATGTTTATCATGAGCCATGGTAACCAACAGTTGAGTTTGAAACTAAAGGGGAGGCAGTTATATTTTAGAATGATCGCACTGTCTGCAGGTCAGAGGATAAATTAATGATAATAACAATGAAACATTTAATCTCTGCAACACCAAAAGATACACTTCATCACCTCCATTTTACAAAAATCAACAGTTGCTTGGTACTGCTTTCTTTGTCCACTGGAAGGACATGATGAATCGGGGAGGCTGAGTTGTAGATCTAATTTCAGTCATTTCTAGGTATAACTTCAGTCAGGTTATTGCTTCACATCTGTACAGGGAAACCTTAAATTCCCAAAACTCGCCACCTGTAGGTAGTTGCCTGATGCCTCTCTTCCCCAGAATATATTCTGTATACATTTTCTTTTCCTTCTTGGGCATCAAGCATAGATGCTCCCACTTTGGAAATTCTTTCATGAACTTGTGGACTGGGTGTATTTCTGGGGTTCCCTATTAGGCATCTCAATACCCATCACCCTTTGGCTTTTTCCAGTTCTGAGGCAGTAAGTCTGATCTTGGAATTACATTCCTAGAGAAATTAATTGTCCAGAGTGTCTGATTCTCCTCTAGTAAGGAGGAAAACCACTGTCTTGGTTCTGTGACTGGGACTCTGAAATGATTTACAAATGTCCATGTTTGAATCTTTTAATGTTATGATTGGATGAGATCAGATTTTATGATTTTTTTCATCTTTGCTATGTTTCTACTTTGATCTTGGAATATTGAAAAAGTACTCCAAGAATATAATTTTTAAAAAATATTCTCAGTGTTCTATTATTAACACCACTAATAATTGAACAAACCAAAAATATTTGCTATGCAAAAAACTAGTAACTGCAAATTCACTGTTACAAAGTCAACATATTTGGTTAGATGTCAGCAAACAATAATCATTTCAAATCATAGCATTAAATTTGGCATAATTGTTATTATTTTGAACTTATCTTTGAACTATAAAGAGAAATCAAAATTCTAAGGAAGGAAAAGTTAAATTGCACTGTTTTTCTTTTTAGTAGTATAAAATATATGCGAAGATTTAACAGAAGGTAGTGTATGCCTGTGTGCCCACTACTCAATTTACAAAGAAAAAAAAATATTATTACTTTTGATCTTTGTACTATCTTCCCTAATTCTATCTCCTTTATTTCTCCACAGAGACAGCCAGTGTCCTGAATTTGAATTTATCATTTCTTTGTTCTTCTAGTCAGTTTCATTGCACATGTTTGAATTCATCCCCAATATACTGTTATACTTTGTATGTCTCTAAACTTTACATAAAATGAATAGCATTGTGTGAGTTTTTCTGTGGCTTATCTTTTCTCTACTCAATATTGTGTGGCTGAGTTGTATAAATTTGTAATCTGTTAATTTATTCTCATTGTTGTGAAGTATTCCATTGTATGAGTAAGTCTCAGTTTGTTTATCCACTATGTCACTGATGCAGATTTGGATTCAGTTTTTTACTATTATGTGCATAACCCCCAGAGACATTCTTGTCTGTGCTTCTGAGTGCTCAAATATAAGAGTTTTCTAGAATGTATTCCTAGGAGAGTAACATACTAAGTCACAAGCTATAAGCATCTTTACCTTTTCCAGGGGAGGAAAATTCTTAGAGTTGTTGTTCTTTTTTTCTTATGAAATACAGCTAGCAAACACAATTTATATTTCACAAATACTTCTTGCTAACACAGTATAATGAGGTTGCATATGCTATATCCTTACATCTATGGGCAGTCTTTTAACTGTTTCACTTTCTGATTAGTAATACAGCTATTTTACGTTTTCCTGTACACTTGTAGGCGTAAGGCAGTCTGCCTAGCTGGTTTGTAAAAAAAAAAAATAATTTGCATAATCAAACAAAAGAAAACAGTTATTTCTGTGGGGATGGGGATAAAATTGGCGTGCCTTGATGTAGTAGTTAAAGCAATGATGTCTGAAGACAGTAAGTTGTAGTAGCTTAAACAATAGCTGTATCATGAAACTACTTATTCTCTATGATAAAATGAAGCACAAACTTAGGCCTTCATTATTTACTGATTCCCCCACACCAAATGTTTTAATCTGCCATAGAACTAATGCTGGGTTTAAAATGCAAATCTATAGACACATTATATCATGGCTTGCATATATTCTCTTTGCATGGTACTGAAATGAAGATTTGCTTTACATTTACCTCCTGATGCTAAGAGAAGAAATTTTTTGAAAAGGAATCAGTATTGATGAAGATGGGCAGGAAAGAGAGCAAGAGAGAGACAGAGTCACAGACAATTCTGTCTAAATACAAATATCTAGTAGTTATATCCTACAGATGTGTGCATGTTATATGTGTGTTATGTGTTACATGTTTTATCATGACAAGCAAACTTATATATCTGTTTAGTCTCTCTTTCTTTTCAATTACATTTTACTCAGTGACAAGTATCAAGCGTTTATATTAATAATGAGTGAAACAGACTCCAGTCTGCACCCGTTGGGCTGTCCCAAGAGACTAGGAGGCTCAGACCTTCTCACCACAAAGTCTGATGTAAGATGATGTAGATCATAATATAAAGACAACCACGGCAGATATTTTTTCATTAACGAATTAAATATTTCTCTCAAGATAAAACAAATCATAATAAAATAAAATCACCTCATTCTTTCACTCCACCCATAAAAGTGATTGTAAAAGCATCTTACAGATAGAAAGTCTTCTGGAAACTTTTGAATCATCTCGACATGGGTCAAGATAGTACATGGGTCATATTTTTTCCCAGCAATCATAACCAAATACAAATGGCGCTTGATTTATGATGATTCAGTTTAGGTGTTTTATCTTTATAGTAGTGCAAAGATATACCCATAAAGGTATTCTATTTCTCATTTTTAGTACAGCATTCAATAAACTACATGAGATATTCAATTTTTTAAAATTCTTGGGTCATAGTTTTTTAAATTAATTGTTTATTAGTACAATTTAGATACACACAATGATCACATTTATCTTAACTGTTTATTATGAAACAGCTTTGTGTTAGATTTTCTGTAACCATAAACTAATGTAAGGGAGCACATTTAAGATAGTCTATGCTCTCCTACTTTGTTTGGCACATTATATACATTAAATGCATATTTATGATATTTTCAATTTATGTGAGCTTACAGAGTTGTAATCTCCTTATAAATTGAAGAACATCTATAGTTTTTGATCAGTGATAGAAAATTAGGAAATAATTTAAAAATTCAGGATTTTGTTGTTGCTGCTATTATTGTACCGGGACCACCAGCTGCTCAGAGGGTGGTCAGGGGCAAGCTGGGCAATAGAGTTACTACTCCCCTTACACTTGTGCTTGTGGCCAAAAGATCTACCTTTCTGTAACACTTCATTTTTAACTTTTAAATTTCTGTACAAATATTTGGTAAATCATACAGATTTGTGTCTGGGTTCCTTTTCTCCTGTTGCTGGGACAAAATTAAGAAAGGAAAAGTTATTTAACTCACAGTTTGTGGAGGTTTCAGTCCATAATCAGCTGGCTCCAAAGCAGGTAGCATGGCAGAAGGGAAACACTTCAAGGCAACACAAGGCAGAAAAATAAAAAGGCCAAAAGTGGGGAGAATAAGCCTCTTCTTCTCCCTTATGCTATAAGCAAGCCTCACTCATCCCAGACAAGTGTAGTACTCATATCACCTCTGTGCCCTCTTGCATAGGCTGAAGATGTTTACAAAGTAAGGACTCTGGCACTGTGCTGAGTTACTTGGTTAAACTTCTAAACTTCTCAAGTTGACACAATGTATCAACCATTACAATCCACCTCTTGTTAACTTGGCAACCATACAACATTTCTTTAAACCAGTTTCTAGATACAAAGACATGCTCATTCTAACCATTTCACAACTTAAACATTTAAGAACCAGTATTAAGGCTATCAAAATTATATTACATTAGAACTGTAACATTCTTCCTCTAGTCCCGCAAAGACTTATACACATTCTTTATGCAAAAGGCATTTTGTCCATTTGTAAGAGTCGCCAAAGTCTAACAATTTCAACACTGCTGAAAAGTCCAAGTCCCAAGTCTTCTCCTCCAAGATATAAGGCAAACTCTCAGCTATAAGCCCTTGTACAAATCACAAGCTAAACACTTCCAACATTCAAAGGCACAAGATAAATATTTTCATTCCAAAAGTTACAAACAG